TCCTGAAGCGCTTGGGGTTCCGGGAGAGACAGAAAAAGGGTTTCTCTTCGCTGAGCCAGAAGGGACTATTCTAAACTGAGTTTGGCAGCGACCTGCTCTTTGCATATCTTCTATCAGCACCTGCAGTAAACAATATATAGCATCTGAAGCCCTTTCCAGTTTTATAAATATGCAAAGCTCCCAATGGCAGTGTGGAGAAATGGAAAAAAGCCCTGAGGGATTATTGATGCTCCTGCAGCAAGGGCAAGAAAGCTTTAATTTTTTAATGGATGGCCAAGGCTAGCCATCAAAATGGGGGGATTTATATGCAATCTGGAGCAGGAGAGGCTGCGGCCCGAGGATGTAAAGATGACAAATTCTTTCCTTTGACAAAAGGCTGCATTTCATTTCCAGACTTTCCTCAAGGGGGAAAAAGCAAGGCAGCACTAAGCTCACAATGGGCTAAGCAGCAATCACCAGGAGCTGGATGAATGCTACTTCAAGAGTCCCAATTTGCACAGGGTCAGCCCAAGGTCAAAATGTTAATTCACATTACTCCTCACTGTTTCTTCTGGGCAATGTCTTGGAATACGGGTAGGGGGGGGCATAGGAAATAAGCTGCACTCATTCAATTAGGATGGCTTACTCTGCCTCTATTCCCAGCATTCCTTATTTGTGGCATCTGGCTGTTAGCTTACACACAAATACACACCCAGCGTTTTGTGGTCCTCCAGGCATAACTGATGTCTAGAGCACTGGCCTTCAGCAACTGGAATGTGATCCACTATTGCATCACAGTCCGACCTACTACCAATATATTACTGTCATATATTTATTTGGATCCCACCTGTCAGGGACTGGCTGGATAGAGAGGAGTGGTGAGACGCACCAACCCCAGAGGAGGAAGTCTCAGAGCCAGGGGGTTGGTGGTGGGGACACTGAAGGGAGAAGTTTGGGAGGAGGTGCCGGATGCTGAAGGGGCAACAGGGTTTAGTGAGCAGGAAGAGCTGGTGACAGAGAGCAGTTCAGACTCCAAGGCTGAAGCAGAGAACGGGGGGGGTCAGGAGGCTGCTGAAGAATCCAGGGACTCTGCCTCTTTGATTGCGACAAGCTCCCCTCCCTGCTGGTCTCCAAGAATGCACAGAATAATGAGAAGGTTCAGAACAGAGACACAGTTTGAGACTGCTCATGACAGTGTGGCTCCACTGGGCTGCCCCATCCACCACCTCTCATCATGATGAGAGTGCCATCACAGTGCCATCTGTCAGCGACCAGGTGAACGATTGCATGGAGATGGATGAGTGGAAATGTAGAGATAGGGGGGAAAGTTACATGGCTCCCTAAATGAGATGAGGCTAACCTCTACATCATCAACAACTCAATCAAGCATTTTAACTGAAAACATCCCATTACCTCTGCTACACTTCTTCGCACCTTAGAAAACACCTGCGTGCATAACAGCTCTGCGTATCTTATTCTGTAAAACAATACATTAGCCTATAAGATTGCTTCTTGACACATGAAGACAAATCCTGTATAATTAAGAAGGAAAGAAAGCAGATTATTATACCCTGCTGGAGAATACGGCTGCCTGTTTCTGTTTTATTTATACATTATACTGTATAATGAGCTGAATATTTAGAGGTCAGCATAAACCAAGCTGCTGACAGGAGAGAACCAAAATACCAGGAATTTTGTGTGTTGGCAATCAGGCACAGGGGATCTTGTTTTCCTTATGGGTGTTTTCTATACATCCACTGCTCCTTGCTTGCTCCCTACCTGGAAAGAGGCCTATAAGGCCACATCACCACCTGTAGCTCCAGCCAGTCAGATAATGCAGGTCTATCCCTCCAATATATTTCTCTGTTTGGACCTAAGTGACTTGCGTAATCAATCAATAAATAAAATATTAGAGAAAACCCTTTATCTTGACCTCCCACACACCTCCAGTTCAGTCTCCAGACTGGCAGTATTTGCTGGGATCAGGTGATATATTATTGGCACATTAATGACATTTGTTGACAATATTTATAGCCACATTCCAATGTAAATGGTAAAAGGCAGCATAAAATATAATAATATGATTAACATTTCTCATCTTCCGAACATCCCAATTTAGCTGAAGTAGCTTGACAAGCTTCCATAGGAAGGCTGTTCTCTCTCTCTCTCTATATATATATATATTGCTGTTGTTTATTTGTTTTGCATTCAGGATTCTTTTTAATTTGTTGTGATAGATACATTCATACTGTATATATAATGTGTGATTGAGAGAGGAGCAGATGTGTGATTTGTGTGAGAGGAGAAATGTATTTATGGTGCATGTGTGTGCGATGGAGGAAGATCTTTATGTTGTGTGTGCACCTGTGAAATGTGAAAGAAAGGGAGGTGTATGTTGTTGTTGCTGCTGCTGCTGCTGCTGTTGTTGTGTAAGAGAGAGAGAGAGAGACAGAGAGAGAGAGCAGGGCCAGATTTAGGTTTGAGGCTCTAAACTACTGAAGGTAATGGGGCCCTTTATATGTCCAGCTGTCTTTGTCAACAACAAATTGTCGCTTTTTTGTGTTGAATATATGCTATATGGTAATTTATGGACCTAATAGGCATCTAAAGTCATTTGCACAAGTTGCCATGCAACCAGTCCATGCAGAATGTAGGCACCCCATATATTGAAATGAGCAAACCAGTGATATTTTAGGGAGCAGGCTAGCAGGCAGGGCCCATTACTTACATTATATGAGCCTACACAACACAAAACACTGTTGCTGTATGTAGATTTTATTTTATATGTTTGTTATCTTATATTTTGGAAATGTACATCCAAGTTTTTTTTCTTTAATTTTTTTGGGGGGCCCAGAGATTGGAGCCCTAAACTATAGCTTGTTTAGCTGATACATAAATCCGGCACTGTGTGTGTGAGAGAGAGAGAGAAAGAGAGAGAGAGAGAGAGAGAGAGAGAGAGAGAGAGAGAGAGAGAGAGAGATCTGTGTGTCTATGGTCTGTGTGTATGTTGATTGTGGTATGTGTGTAAGGCAGAGAGCCGTGTGGCTATCTTATATATTTTCCCTAGTACTGGGGAATGCTTCCTGTTGTTGGACAACCACAGCCATTTGTGCTACACCACACACCCCTTGACAGCCATATTGCAACCAGTGTCATTGTTTTGATCCTTATTATGTATTTTTTTAATTAACTTTTTTCATGAGCTAAACAGAGAAGGGGGAGGGGTGCAGGAAGAGACATTTTACAACTCAGTACAGGCACTTCATTTTTACTTATTTAATTTTGCCCAGGAAGTACTGTACGAGTTGCGTCAAGTACGATGTATCATACAAAGGTGAAGAATAAATGCCATATAAATTAATGAAAACACATGAAAAACCTTTAACCTGTGATCCAGTGCACAGGTTTGCACGGTCAAGCGAAACACAATGGACTGTGCCTCAGTCTCTAAGAAGTGCTATAAATATAGCAAATACTGCCTATGTTTTGGGCTACAACTTCCAACCACAGTGCTGGCTGGGGGCCGATGAGAACTGTAGTCCAAAATATCTGGAGGGCACCAGATTGGGGAAGGCTGTACTGCAACGTAGCAACGGTGTGTTTGCAGACAAAAATGTGCAGCAAAATGATAATTTTTGAAGGTATGGCGTAATGGTTGGAGTATTGGGCTAGGACCTGGGAGAGCAAGGTTCGAATCCCCACTCAGCCATGAAACTCACTGGGTGACCTTGGGCCAGTCACCATCTCTTAGCCTAACCTCCCTCACAGGGTTGTTGTGAGAGAGGAGAAGAACCATGTACACCACCTTGAGATCCTTGTGAGATAAAGGTGGGGTATAAGTGCAACAAATAAGTAAATAAAATCTCTTGTAGATGTTTCTCCTCCTGATCTGACAATGGCACTCAAGTCCTGTTTGCAGGCTTTCCACAGCTGGCCACCATGAAAACTGGCCTTTGGTCTGATCCTGCACAGCTTCTCATGTGTTCTTATGGCTCTCTGCTCCTGGTTCCTTATTTTGGACATCGTTCCTGGTCAAGGGTTTTTACTGAATCCTGTTCTACTGCTTTGGGCTGTTCAGTCTGGCCTTTCATTCTGCTTTCCCCATCACCTCTAATGCTCCCATGCCATCACATCCCAAGGAGCAGAGTTCTTCTGCTCATCTGTTCCCGCAAATCTCAGCATCTGCCTGGGTGGGCCCCCTGAAGTGTGAGGAGATGGCAGAGCGCACGTTAGCTGCTGACGACCGCCTCATTAACCGGAGCACTGCAGGCAGCTCCTCTGCCGCCTAATTTGAGAGTGCAAGACCGTCTTCAGATGGCTCGGTGGGCTCCTGCAAGGCAACCGAACAGCAGGCAGGCGAGAGGCCAAAAGATGCTTCCCCCCTGAAGGCTGGGGGCAATTCAAAAGGCTCTGTAATTGGAAACAGGAAGTCAACCCTTACCTGAGACCAGAGCAGCCAGCGGTGTTGCCAACCCTCCAGTACATCCCTCAGAAGTTAAGCACATCTGGAAACTTCACAGAAGCAGCAGAGCGGGGCAAACCCAGCACACGGCATTTGTTGTGCCTTTCATAAGCCTTTCCACACGGTGTGTGTCTTTCAGAGCTGGGGGACGTGTGTGGCTCTGCATATAGACATCAAGGTCCAAGCAGCCGCCCGAAGAAGATGTCAGAATAAAAGAGGTTTGCTTTCTTCCTGTTTGGGAGTGTGGCTTAAACCTCCAGCTGGGGTTTGCATTCTTGCTCTTTGAAAGCCCAAAGCCTTGTAGTTTAAAAAAAAAATGCCTTGCAGGTGTTGTGAAGGAGAAGTTTAAGCCTTTCTACTAGTAGATCTTTCGAGACAAACAGAACCATCTGGAATGTGCTGAATTTGTAAGGACAAATGCCTAGAGGAGGAGGACTGGAGTCCCAGAGAAAAGAGAGTTCGGTAGGAAAGCAGAAGAGAAGACAACAGAATCACATAATTGCACAGAAGGGACCACAAGTGTCATCAAGTCCATCCCCGTGCAATTCAGGAATGTTTTTGCCCAAAGTGGGGCTCAAACCCCCAACCCTAAGATTAGGTGTTTCCTGCTCTACCAACTGAGCTATGACTCCAAGATAAGTCTGCACCTCTGTCCTTTGTTGCCTTTCTTTATGTTTCAGTTTGGCCCTTGACACCTTCGGGAAAATCCTCTCTGAAATTATTCTGCAAAAGCTCCACTGAAATGAACAAGCAGCTCCCCTTCATTTCAATGGGATTTGTGCAAGAGAACTTCCCAGTGAACTGTGGTCCTGGTGCTAATTCTTGTATGCCACCTATTTAAAAATGTTCCCTCCTCTTGGATTTTAAGTTGCTGTTTAGTTGACTTCAATTTACTACCGTTTTCGCCCAGAAATGGAAGCAAGAAGAAATACCGATGAAAGAAGAATGGCAGACAAAATTAATGGACTACGCAGAATTGGATAAAATGACAGGAAGGATTCGAAACCTGCGGGACCAGAGATTTACAGAAGATTGGAAGAAATATACAAACTATTTGAAGAGCAACTGTAATCAACAAATTACGCTAGTAGGACTACAAGAAGTTTTGTAAGGGGAAATATATGAAATATTGCAAAGAAAAGAGACATTAGTTAGGATATTTAAATGTAATAGTGAGAGTAGGAAATGTAAATTAAGTGAAAAGATTGGAAAATTTTCAGATGTGATTGATGGAAGTAAAAAAAATTATATAAGATATTAAAGTATGTCTAATAATTGTTGAAAATGATATGGTAAAAACTAATAAAAAGATATTTTAAAAAATTGACCTGGGGGGTGGGGAAAATTACTACCATTTTCAAAAGTGCTGCATGGACAGCCGTGCAGCCAATCATTGTGCAAATACAGATGTGAGAGGGCCATAAGAACAAAAAAATCCTAGCGCAGGAGAAACACCAGGGATATGGCTGAGATTATAGGTATCCCATTACATTTATCCAAGCAATATGAGATTCATCATATAAAAATTAGTGACTCTTGACTGGTGCCCTACCCTGTCACACAAAGAAACCTTGAAGTGGCGTATTAAAAGTAAGCAGAACTCTGGATAGAATTCAGGCTGCAATTTATTCATGGTCTACATTCCCCCACTCAAAGAGAGATCATGCAAGCTTTTTCACGCATACCTAAAGGAAGTGAATAATCAGATTCCTACTGAGACCTGTGGGTATATGTCTGTATACAAATTCAATAAATAACAATAATACTTTGGGTGTGAGCTGAGGAAGAAGGAATCTAGACATCAACACTCTTTTGCATCATCCTCAACCTGATGTCATCTTTTCACAGCAGTCTGGGCAAGGATAATCCACCTAGTAATTGGTTCTGGAGGAGGGGAGAGGATCTTTACCCAGCTTTGGAAGTTACTGCCGCTATCATTTCCCGGGACGGCTGCCCTACCAAACCAACCAAGAACAAGGGGGCAACTGTTAACAGCAGCATATTAACTTTACACATGGCTGGCTGCAAGCAGGCAGGCAGCATGCCCTTCTAAGCCACCGCATCTCAGATGAGAGTCGCTTGCTGGCTCCGAGAAAGATCTGAATTGGATAATGGGTAAAGGCGACGGAGAACAGGGACAGGCAAATCTTCTACCACTGTGAGAGGTCAAAAGCCTTCCAGACCATTACGGAGTCAACCTATCTTCAGAGGTAGATTTTTTAGTTTTCATTGTGCCTCAGAAGAAAAAAGAAGACCCAAAATATATTGACCTCTGTCTCCCATGTATGCTGTTGTTATTTTAAAATCAATTTCAGAATGACACAGTGACTAGGGCTAGGCTTTGGTCTCTTTCTTTGTTGCTGTTGAGGGGATTGTGATATGACAATACAGGGTTGTTCAGAGCAGGAGAGCAGCAATTAATACTTTGCAAGCGAAGAGAGGAGAACATGTTTTGCTTGCAGAAAGCACCAGCATGCCAATGCCAGTTTAAAAGGATCAATTAGTTGGATGTGTGAGGACCTCTGGCTGAGACCCAGGGAAGCCACATTGCCAGTCAGAGTGTGGCAGCTAGACTGGTGATTGGGAGCGGCAACTGGGACCATACAGTGGTACCTCTGGTTACAGACGGTTCAGGTTACAGACACTTCAGGTTACAGACTCTGGTAACCCAGGAATAGTACCTCGGGTTAAGAACTTTGCTTCAGGATGAGAACAGAAATCGCACAGCGGCAGCAGGAGGACCCATTAGCTAAAGTGGTACCTCAGGTTAAGAACAGTTTCAGGTTAAGAACGGATCTCCAGAACGAATTAAGTTCTTAACCCGAGGTACCACTGTATAACACTGGTCCTAAAAGACCTACGTTGGCTCCCAGTATGTTTCTGAGCACAATTCAAAGTGTTGGTGCTGGCTTTTAAAGTCCTAAACAGCCTCAGTCCAGTATACCTGAAGAAGAGTCCCCACCCCCATCATTCAGCTCAGACACAGAGATCTAGTTCCAAGAGCCTTCTGGCGGTTCCCTCACTGCAAGAAGTGAAGTTACAGGGAACCAAGCAGAGGGCCTCCTTGGGAGCGGCGCCCACCCTGTGCAACACCGTGAAAGCAGATGACAAGGAGATAAACAACTATATGACTTTCAGAAGACATCCAAAGGCAGCCCTACATAGGGAAGTTTTTAATGTTTGATGTTTTACTGTGTTTTCATATTCTGTTGGAAGCCACCCAGAGTGGCTGGGGCAACACAATCAGATAGGCAGGGTACAAATAATAAAATTATTCAGTTTCGTCTGGTGTAAGGTTCCTATATTATTTTGCTATGTCACAGTTTTCTCAGTCTTTATTACAGTGGTAGAGTCTATCCCAAGAAGTGCTTCTCAAACATTAATGAAAAGGGGTCTTTGCGATAGGCACACTCATTAGCTGGGGCTGTTCTATTTACTCAAAACTCCAGTGGGCTTCAAAAGATATGGTTGTTAAGACTTTGTACACAGCACACCTCAACCCTTCAGGCAACCAAGGTTGTTGAGGGACCACTATTCCCTTCCCATAGCCACAGTTCTTAAAATGGTTTAGTCATAGAGTAACCATAGACTTGAGGGACACGGGTGGTGCTGTGGGTTAAACCACAGAGCCTAGGATTTGCCGATCAGAAGGTCGGTGATTCGAATCCCTGCAACGGGGTGAGCTCCCGTTGCTCGGTCCCTGCTCCTGCCAACCTAGCAGTTCGAAAGCACGTCAAAGTGCAAGTAGATAAATAGGTACTGCTCTGGCGGGAAGGTAAACGGCGTTTCCGTGCGCTGCTCTGGTTTGCCAGAAGCGGCTTAGTCATGCTGGCCACATGACCCGGAAGCTGTACGCCGGCTCCCTCAGCCAATAAAGCGAGATGAGCGCCACAACCCCAGAGTCGGCTACGACTGGACCTAATGGTCAGGGGTCCCCTTTACCTTTACCTTTAACCATAAATTGTAGAGTTGGAAGGACCTTATTCCTCTGAGAGGAATTACTCCAAACAACTCTCAGCACCCTTAACAAAACACAGCTCCCAGAATTCTTTGGAGGAAGCTTAGAGTGGCACCATAGTGTTTTAAACGCATGATGTAAAGGTGGCCTGTGGTTCCTCTTCCTATGCAACTGTGCTGTTCCTCAGATGAACTGATGAGAGAGGTGATGGGATGGAGCTTGGTGGGGTGGGGAGGCCAATGCTATTGTGCAATCATAACACATCAGAAATGCTGAGCTGCCACTTGTGGGTTCTCCTGCAAACTAACTCCCCAGGAAGAGAAATTAGATGCAAAATGGTAGTGACAGCAAGAACTGATTTTAAACCTTTGATCTCTTGCTAGCAACGGCTGTCACCTTCCAAGGTTCCAGGTCTGAAAGGATCCTAACTGACAGCCCAGAAGATACAGCAGGCATAACTTAGGGGAGAAATGTGACAGCCTGTGCCTCTTCCTATCTCTACTCGGCAAATGAAAAATAAAAGCAGGTTTCGCAAGAGACATGCCATAGTCACAGACCCAAGAGCCAGAAAGAGGTCTGGGCCACTAGTCACTGATTTCCAATAATGTACTACCAGACTTGTTTAATTCATAGTGAGAATGCCTAATTTCATTTCCAAATCAAAACTGGTGAATATTCAAACACAGTCTTCTAAAGGCATACATGATGTATACTTGGTGTTGCGCCATTAATTTTATACCCAGTGCTTAAAATTGAGTCTGAATTGCTTTTTCGTTGCAGCTGTAGGTCCTGTCAAATCCTAAGAATGGGCCTTCCCTGACCTGAAAAATGCTTTTATCCACCTCTCTCTGCCTCGCCTAAGAGCCATTCCTTACTCACATAATTCACTGCAGAAATGTAGGGAACTTGCCAAGTGAGAGAATGTCACCAGGTGACCTAAAGACACTTGGCTTACATTACACAATTCCGTACAAGTGTAGAATCATCCCTGCGGGGAGATAAGAGATCACGCTGGGAAAATCATAGCATCTGCCTTAGCAAAGACTCACACTATTGCAAGCACCACTTGTCTTCCTGGGGAGACAGGATTTAAAAAAAAAAAAATCTTCCTTCCACAAAAGAACAAGGCGACACCCCCCACCCACTCACTCCACCCTCACAATAAGGAAACGAGCAGTGCAACTCAAGCATTTTCTAGGAACGCTGTGGAGAAAGAAAGCATGGCGTGTCTGTTTTGGGGTAGGAAGGAAAGAAAAAAGAACTCGCTCTCTTAATTGGCAACACAGCAAATGAAAATGTCAATCCGTTCTGTGTCTCAGAGCTTCTGCAGTTCCTTTGTATGAAGAGGCTGCGTTCTGCCAGATCACCAGCTCTTTTCAGCACCACCAATTAAATGGAGGGAAAACAGGATGTTGCAAGGTGCCACAAAAGTCTCTCAGTGCCTTCCACTTATGCCTCACAGTTGCCCACACACACACACACACACTCTCCTCCTCCTCTGCTCCTCCGTCCTCGACTTTCATGGTAACCGCGTAGATAAGTGATGCTCAGTTACTTTGATCTAGCACATCCCATTCCCAGCAAACAAACCTTCTTAGACCAGAAAGAAGACATTTGTTTGCTATAAATTGCAAACAACCACAACTATTGTATTATGCTGCCTACCTTCTG